TGCTAACTTTTACATAAAGACTTTTAAGTCATCTTTTTTGTGCATACATTTTCTCAGTGATGTCAGATACAAATGGGTTATTCAGGTTCATTAAGAATCTGAAGGCCCTTACTCATCACTGCACCTGGCACTATATGCTTGTGTCAGCTTCCCTGCATTGTCATGTTGACTAAATCACTGGCATTTCCTGGTTTATGAGCTATTTCTTAACTTTCTTCCTTCTTATGTATGTCATTTTGTTTATTTGAATAATGCTGGAAGCTACACTCCTCACCCTGTTTTTCATATCTGTCTCCAAAGTGCCTCTTTACATGAGAATACAGGAGTTATAGGTAGGCTGCCCTATTTGGCTTAGGGCGCACTCACACGAGCAAAGTTGTCCCGTACTGTGCTTAAGCACGGTTGCCCCCCCTCCCCATTACCCCGCTGGCCTGCTCTCACACTGCTCCAGGACTAACCGGGCCCGAGCACGGCTACCTCTTGCACATAAGGTCGTAATACAACACATGCATGGCTTTACTTAATAATGAAGCGTGCTCAGTTTACAAGACAGGCTTACTCGAGGAAATAAATAAAGACACATGGTCGATTCTGCGTCCATACATCGGGGAACTTTAGCGGTGAAGCGTGCTTGGGCACGGCACAGATTGCCTAGTGTGAGTGCGCCCTTAGAATCTGCTACAGGAGGATTTGGATGTGGAAGTTGCATCAGGTTATAGACACTTTTAAATGGCTAAATTCAATAGCTAATCAATTTGAATCACATTTTTATGTTTGAAATGTCTTTATTTAGCGATTCAAAACCGTATTTGTCATACTTTCATTTTTATAAATAGACTTTTATGTTGTACTGTTTAAGCTCTTGTGCTTTACTTCCTGTTTGAAAGAGAAATCCTGCTTTTATTTGAGAAGAAAACCGTAACAAAAGGAAGTGTTTGATGTGACACAGTGGACATTAAATGTGAATCGTTAACTGTAGTGACTTATCTATGGTACGCTGAAAGAGACATAAAACTGCAAACAAATTGATGTTATTAAACCAATATAAGCGTTCATTTTGACCTCGCAATTGACCTGGTTTCATTTCCGTCATGCGTCACCCACCTTCAACTGTCAACAGGTGACCACAACACTGTGGCTTCTGGTCATACTGTGGAAATCTTTCACAGAGAAGAACACGCTCTCTGTTTTACTGTGGTCAGGTCTGGTTTCATGTTTCCAAGCAAGATTGCAACTCTAAACTTTTGAGAAACCAAAACTGATCACTGCATCTGCCATCTTCCTCTCAGTGTGTTTTAATAAACATAAATAAATAATTGAGTAAGTCAAATCACAATAAGGTATTCTATCTTCCAAAAGAATCATCATATCTGGACCGTTTGACAAAAGACATTTGATCAGACTCTGATTGTTAGAAGTATAAAGAACATCTTTTTCAGGGCCTTAATATCATATTATCTGTTTTCTCCTGCAGTTTGAGAACTTGAAGGCTGTCCATCCAGACTATGGAAACCGGGTTCAGAATCTTCTCAACAAGTTCAATGATGAGGCCCAGCAGGTAAATAGTAACTGTCTGATTGATTCTTGGCGAGTAGTTTTGATATGTTTATAAAACTTGAAGCAAACATTCAGGCAGGAATCTGAATGACTGAGGGGATTCCCTGGGCGCTGTTTCTTTAGTGTCATCATGACTTTGACATTTTGGACTTCCCAGAGGAAGACTAAAACTTTTGGAAGTGTCCTGACTATTGTTTTCAGCTATTCCAGCAGGTCCACATTTAAATTTCATGGTTTTCCTCAACAGCTGTTCTGTGGGGAGTAAATGTTTGCATATGAATGGATTTTTTTACTTAATGTTATCAGAGCAGTTGATGAATTATTTACTGTCTGCATACAAAAAAAAAAAAATTGCGTAGAAAGTTTCTGACATGAATGATCTACCCTGGCTTAAAATATCACGGCAACTATCGTAGGGCTGAAAATCATAATCACGATAAATAAATAAAATAAAAAAAATATATATATAAATTTGTGGTTCTGATTCAGTGTTAAGGCCAGCAGAGAAGGCCTTACTGTCACTGACTGCCAACCTCTGACAAGGGCTGACATGAGGCGGCTCAGATGTAGAGTCGGCCGTTTCTTAACTGAAAGGTTGAGGGTTCGATCCCCAGCTCCTGCAGCAACATGTCTGATGTGTCCTTGGGCAGGAATGAATTGCTCCCGCTGCTTCGTGTGCGGTGTATGAATGTGTGTGAATGGGATTAGGTACTTCTGATGATCACTTGACATAGCAGCCTCTGACATCAGTGTGTGAATGTGTGGGTGTGACATGTAGTGTAAAAGCACTTTGTGTAGTCAGAAGACTAGAAAAAAGCGCTATACAAGTCAATTTACCATTTTCAGTCTTCAGTATTTGAGCTCATATTGTATACAGATGTTTATAGATCAAGGATAACATTCAGCCAAGGACAAGGCTGTTAAACAGAAATGAAAGTTATTCCATGACAGACATTGGGCACATTAATTGTCGGAACATTTGGATATACTGTATATATTTTTTTGTGTGTCTGGTGGCAACATTTCATAATGCAGATTTATTAATGTTGTCGTAAACAGTTGTCTGCAGATAACGTTTTCTAAGATGTGCATCTGGTATACAGTTGTAAAAAAGCTTAATACCAACTCTCTCTCTCTCTCTCTTTCACTTCCACTCTCTTAGAACACACCCGTGCATGTCTACAGCCGTCCAGGAGTCTCGGCCGTCGCCGCATCCTCCAAGATGTGATGCCTTAAATTTCCAGAAGGGGCAGCACCCTCATGTATCGCAGAGCAAATGCACTTCTTGATTAACAACTGCTACTAAGAGTAACGAGATTGGACTAAACAATTAGTATAATGACGAGACTGAAACACCGACTTGTAATGTGAGGGTTGTGTTTTTTTTTTTTTTTTCATTCAGTCCATCCAAACAGTTGATTTTCCTCAAAATCCTCAAAGCTTTCAATATTCAGCAGATTCTTTATCTCTGTCATTTGTCTTGATTGAACACTAATTTAAAAAACAGATGAAGTTGTTTCGTTGTTATTTTTTTACAGACTGAAACAAAGACCACTATGGCAACTAATGTTAACTAGATCGAGTACTGCATGCCGAAATGGAGGGCTTGCCTTTGACCAAATATGGCCTCAATGCTAATGTTTGTTTGTTTGTTTTTAAATATAGGTGTGATTGGAGTTTCAAGTTCAACCTCAGCTTCTTCCATGTACCAGGATGAGTGATTATTTCTTAGGTTATGTTTGTATGTTGGATTGATTCAAATCTCTCCAAAAAAAATCCAAATCAGCTATTCTGTTAGTCTTCTTTTAACATTCACATGTGATTCAATGTGTGACATATTCAGCATTAATCTCCGATCAGGTTGTAAAATACATTGATTTTTTTATGTAGTGTTGGCACATGCCAACTGCAAGAAGCAGTATTTTTGTTTTTCACTGCAGGCAATCATAAGCGTTGGCTTGTTTTCCTCACGATTGACTGAACCTCAAAAATCATTGCATTCTTCATGAGAAGAACTTTCAAACTGAAATGATTTTTCAGTTTGATCTGGGGGTGTTTGTGGGCGCATGCATATCCTGTCAGTAATGCAGTTCACAAAAAGGACACAATTACTTTCACTTCATCAAAAAGTCAATAGTGCCTTTTTGTACTAAATACAAATATAAATAAATTAACCTGAAACTCAAAAATCATTGATTAACTTCTCTTTAGTGGAAAAGAGAAACTTTGTTGATTTATATCGTGGTCTATCAGTTAACGTAGGGTTAATGTGGCTAAGTAGCATTAAAAAAACAGAGACTACATCCTCATCCGAATCAAAAAACACAACCACTAATTCCCTCCTATTCTGGTTTTCTTTCAGACTGACTAGAAATGTAGTTTAGGGCTTTCATGTTTGTCCATTCTATGCAGAGAAAAAGACCCTCGACTAAATGCACAGTTTATTGTGTCACTGTGTAATATGCACTGTATGACCTGTTGTGTGTTTGCTAACTCTTCAAAGTGTAAAAAATATATTTTATATGAATGTTTAAGATCAGATTTGTATTTAGTGCCTGTATTAAATCGAAGCTTAACAGCAGCTTTCATGTCTCGTTCTTTTGTTTGAAGACATCTTTGTTTTCTTCAACGCTGTATGAGAAGAGGAAACTAAAATGCCAGTTAATCTCATCTAGCTCATCTATAGTAAGTTGCCATTTCAGTTTTTAAAGTTGCTTAGAGTTCCCTCAATGCCAACCAAAACACAGATTAATAAACCATAAGACCTTATTTAGTTCTGATATTTAAGGGATTACGGAGTTGACGTGTTATGGCTGAGACACCTGATAGCATCATTTAATGAATTTAAAAAAAAAATAGAAAGCTTAACGATACTTAAATGTCATCCCCCCCTTTTCCCTTCAGGAATGAAGACAGGGGTCCTTTGGTTATAGCTAACCTCTTTTTATGCCTGATTATTTTGTGTTTTTGTAAACGGAGTTCATAAAAACTGGGACACATTTTAATGACTCAAAATGTTGACAAAAAAATACATTTTAAAATGTAGATGACTATAACAGTCTTTTTTTACACCCGTTGTATCAGTAGGTTTTGCAGTTTTAAGATTTTGTATGATTTTGACACATTTTTAAATAGTTTAAAGTTTTAAATTTTTGTCTTGGACAAGAGTGTTTTCTGTCATAGGGCAGGTTTAGACCTAAAAAGAAAAGAAATCAGAACCAAAATTGGGTATTTCAAATTGGTTTCATATATAAAAATCTTTAAAAAAGAGATTTTCATAATAAGTGTATTTGTAAGTTTTGTTTAAGCTTGTTTGCCTGGGACATGATTTTTCCCAATTCTCAAAAATGGGTGTTATTCGTTAGTTTAAGAAGAAGCTAATCTTGCATACCCATTGTGGTCAGGTTGGTTTTGCCTCATTGGTTGGTATCAGGTGGAAAAGCAGCTTGTGCTGTGCTTACCCTCAAAGCAGCACACCAACACTCACAGCGACACGATCATAGTGTGTGTACACCCTCCTGCAGCCTGCACTCCAAACCTACAGATAAGACGACTGAGATGAATCCTGAAGGTGTTCCACTGCAGGGGAGGGGATATGAAGGATATCCAGGACAGCCTAGATATCCAGGACAGCCTACAGTGGTTCAGTCCACCACTGTGAACATCGTCACTGAGCCCCCCAAAGACCACATCATCTGGTCCTTCTTCTCCTTCGTCTACTTGAACCCCTTCTGCCTCGGACTGGTGGCTCTCATCTACTCCATCAAGGTCAGTTTAAAAACATCAGTTAAGACTCGCTGATGAACAAAATAACTCGGTCTTTGACATTGAAAAATCATAAAATGTTCATGAACAATACCAGGAGAAGAATTTTCCTGAAGTTGTTAAATTTCAAAAACATGTAAAAGTATTGTTAAAAGCTTCGCTTTATTTGAAGGGTCTTTTTGGAGATTTTTTCAATTTGAAATTCCAAACTATCAGTGAGTAAGAAAAAAAAGACTCATCATTGAAAGGATGACAGGTTTGAGATGAAGACCATTTTCGCTTCATTATACAATCATTCAATCAGCCGTAAATATTTGCATTATCTTGACAAAGATGTAAAAAATAAACGTGTTCAACTTTGTTTTTTTCTTAAAGATAAACAATTTACTGAACATAATGAGAGGTGCTTCTGTCGTTTCAGTCCAGAGATCGGAAGATGGTTGGTGATCTGGAGGGGGCTCGACATTATGGAGGAACCGCCCGCACCTTCAACATTGTATCTTCTATTTTGATTGGCATAGTGATCCTTAGCTTCATTATTGTCATCAATGTGGGCAGATAATCCTCATTCTCATTATGATTATGGTTATTATGGAAACTGATAGAAAATGAACTGTAAAATCATTTTGGTTAACTGAAACTAAAATAAAAACAAGGCGTTGCAAAACTAAAAGGGACAGGGCCTTTGCTGTCAGAGCCCCCAGACTTTGGAACAGCCTGCCAGAGGAGATCAGACTTGTAGAGTCAGTCCCTTGTTTTACATCTCTACTCAAGACATTCTTTTATAAAAATGCTTTTACTCTGTGATATCGTTAATTGTTTTTATTTTTCATTTTATTAGTCTGATTTTGTTGTCTGCTTGTTTACGCTCTGCCTGTTGCTTTAATTGTCTCTGCTTTTATTTTCTGTTGCAAAGCACTTTGCTACTTGTATAGAAAAGTGCTATACAAATAAAGTATTATTATTATTATTACCTGAATCTGTATCGTGTGTTTACAAAACTAAATAAAAATTACATTATAGACAAAGTGTCCTTTGTCTTTGTGTTTGACACGAGCATACTGACTGATATGCCGTTTATGTTTTGTCTCAGGCGTGTCTGGATGAGCATGTTCATGCAGAAGTTAAAACGGTTTTCCATATTTTTTTAAGATATATTATATTCTTTAGACTCTAAAGGATATGTCAAAGTCAAAGTCCTATTGGGTCGGGGGCCGGATTTGTCCAAATGAGACCTCAAGTGGGCCGGACTAATTTTGCCGACATCACTATAACTCAACACATGGATATATAGGCTAATGTATGATTGTATAGAAAACTTTAACATTAACATTAAGCAGAGGGGTTAACTCTGTCATTGCAAACTGCATGTTGGCACATGGAAATATTTAAATGTACCACATTACAGAAGAAAACATCAATAATTATGTTTTGATTGAGATTATTATATTATGTTTAAATATTGCTATTCAAGGTTATAGACACTTTGACACCTTATTCTACCTGCCCTGGGCTAAGTGCATTAGAGAGAGAGAGAGAGAGAGAGAGAGAGAGAGAGAGAGAGAGAGAGAGAGAGAGAGACGGAGACTTTAGATCTGTGTGTGTCAGGCCACAGCACAGTTTGCACTCGTTAAGGTTCATTACAGATAAAACCTGCTCATGTGAATAAGTTGTCACAAACAAACAGAGTGTCTTTGCTGCATCTTCGGGTCTTTAAGTATGAGGCATTATAAAATGATAACATGTTTCCAAACGAACTGACTTGAATTGATCCTTCAGCTTTGCGCACTGCAGTCTGATCAGCTCCGTGTGGAGTGCACGTTCTTCAACTAAGTAGACTCAGTTAAACGACTTTTCATGAGTCTGGCAGTCCGTTCTTCTACGTGTCCGCAATATCGTGATCTAACTCTGTCACTGACTTTTTATGCTCCATGAATCTCTGCCATCTCCGTGCGCAATTCAAGGAAGAATTTTAGCGCTGCTCCATGATTAAACCAGCGGACCTCTGTATGATCGGGCAGCCTGTGCGTGATATCGTCTTTGTATAAGAATGAAATGTTCAGTAATAGTTAATATTTACGGTCTGATGAAAGCTGGTGATAAAGGCGCAGCAGCAGGCTACTGCATTTAGAAGTGATTTCGCACTGAAACTTTTAGGTGATCAACACAACACGTTCACCTCTGGGTGCAGGGGCGGACTGGCCATCTGTGTGTTCTGGAGAATCACAGAACGGCCGGTACTCCAGGATGGCCGGCGGCCGCCACGCAGTCATCACCAGTTTTTTTTTTTTCCTGCTAATTTACTGTTTCACACTCCAGTCCGGTAGGTGGAAACAATGCGTCTTAAAGCTGGATGCCAGCCGGCAGCTGCCTGTGCCCACCAGCTATAATCTAAAAGAGGTAGAAGTAGTAGTAGTAGCAGCTAGTGATGTGAAAAGCAGTTCTTTTCAGTGTACTGAATCATTAGAATCAGTTCAGTAAAGTGATTCGTTCAAAAGATTCGTTCACCGAATCGTTCAGTACTTCTCTGCAGCTCTGTCTGAGAATCAGAATTTAATAAGCTAAATACGACCGAACGTTTAGTTCTGCTCGCGATCGGAACTGAGAACAGCAGGTGGTGAATAATAAACTAATGAGCTGAGAATTTAGTTGGATAAAGTTACAGTTTGCAAACTGAAAGCTGCTAAAACAATCACATTTATTTTCCCCGACCATTCTGTTCAGTACGTTCAGTACACAAATCACTCACTGACTGACTGACTGAGAGGAAGAGAGTGACTCGGAGGCGGTGCTCTCGTTCAGTTCGTTCAGTGAACGTGAACGAGCGAGACTGCGAGTCACCAGCCTCAGTCACACACACACACACACACACATGTACTGACTGAAACACGATTGTTAGTGGATGTTCAAAAAGTCTCCCGACCGACTCCATCCTGTTGGTTCAGTCAGTATGTGTCACGGACATGAAAGGGAGAGGGAGGGCGGGCTTTGAGCGACTCTTACGGCTAGAGAGAGATACGACACGGGAGAGAGGAGAGCGCAACTGAAGTTGAGAAATGAACGACTCTTTTCAGTAAGTGATTCAGTTCAGTTCGTTCACCTAGAAGATTCGTTCTTTTTGAACGAATCGTTCATGACCGACACATCACTAGTAGCAGCGAAGACGATCTTTGGTAGTAGTAGTGAAGCACAAAAATATGGATAACGTTTGTCAAAAAAACACAAAGAAAAGGGTGGGGCTGAGAAGGCGAGGGAAAAAAAATGCGACATTTAGAAAGTGAAGCCGCTAAATGTCGCAAGCTCACTGAAATGTTCAGCAGCACAGCCGGCAGCAGCACTGAGGCACAAGTTGACGTTAGCAGCAGCATCCAAGAAGTTAGCAGCATGAGTGAAGAAGAGAGAGTTGAGGCGAGCCGGACAGTTGTGCAGCCTCAGCATGGTAGGGTCACATGTGATGATGAGGGACAGAGAGATGAGCTGGTGGAAGTTCAGGGCTGGAACTTGACATGAGAGAGGGAGAAAGAGAGTTACTTGCTGGTTGATGTTAGCAAATGTTATTCAGGTGTTGCTACATTTTTATCTATACCCAGTTTGTGTTGCTCAGTACAATGCAAAAAATTAAATGAAATAAAATAAAGTGAAATAATGATTATAGTAGTTAAAACAGCTCCACTTTAAACATTTTAGGTGTAAAATGCCACATGCAGTAATATTAAGAAATAGGCTACATACTGTATATATAAAAAAACTGTTGTGCTTTTACTTTTTAAGTTTTGGTAACGTTACAGTTTTCTGATAATACTTACAAACTTTGAAGACTTTGAATACAGAAGTTACATTTGTAGTGATGTATTTTCATTATTATTTGTGCAGTAAGTTAATTACTGCATAATTTAATTAAGATTATTGAGTAATAAAGTAATCATAAGATTGCGTGGAATAGATGATGTTATAATCAACACCAGTGCTATTGCTGTAATTTGGATGGTATAGTGTAATGAGTCATGATTCAAGTATTGTGACACCTGCCCATTGTAAACTTATATTATCTCTGTCCTGGTTACATCAGACACTTCAGTATGCCTATCACAAATAAAAAAAGAAGACAAAAAAACAGTAGAATCCATATAACGTATAATAGTTTGTTATATGGATTCGACTGTTTTTCTAAAAAGTCACAAAAAAACAGTTTTAAAAGATGTCTAAAAAAATTGAAAAAAAGTCACAAAGAAAGTCACAAAAAACTCGCAGAAAAGTGAAGTTGTGAGTTTAACCCCTTCGATCTTACCAAGGTACCACATCTTTCTGAGCATGGCTCAGGGTGGCGCTGCCCTGCGGCGACACGGACACCAGTGAGCTGTTGTAGAAGTTTGTATTTTGTATGTGATCATTTTGGACTACCGTTCTGTGAGAATGGATGAATGAAGACCAAAAGGAGAATGAACATGCCGTGCTTTTGGACTCTTTTAGTGGCAATCACGATCCTCGTTGAACTTTTTAACAGCTGCCGAGCAACCGGAGTAAATCCGGTGATACAATACACACGAGAGCTGCTACTGTCTCTTCGCAATGATGCAAATCCACAGAGATTGATGACAGAAGACCTGCCTCAGGAGATACGATCATCACACCGACAGAGAGCGAGAAAAAGAGGCCGGAGAGGAGGCGTCCGACAGCGGCTGAGAAGGAGAGGAAGCCGGCCGCCACTACCATCTATGATCCTGTGCAATGCCAGATCGCTGAGAAACAAATTGGACGAACTCCGACTACTGTCAAAAGCCTGCTTTGAATACCGTGAGTCCTGCATAATGACTATTACTGAAACGTGGCTAACATCAGATGTACCAGAGCCTTTGGTCGAAATTGAAGGTTTCAGCCACATCCGCGCTGACAGAACTGAGGACTCCAGGAAGAGCAAAGGAGGCGGGCTCTGAGTGTATGTCAATGACAAGTGGTGCAGGCAGTACACAGTTCAGGGAACTGTCTGCAACAAGGACGTTGAACTACTGTGTGTTAGCCTAAGACCTTTCTACCTGCCCCGGGAGTTTGGAAATATTCTGATATGTTCAGTTTATGTTCCCCTGACGGTAACGCATCCAGGGCAGCTTCTGAAGTGGCGGACTGTGTACAAGACAGCTTCAACGCACACCAAACGCCCCCATCTTTATTATGGGAGATTTTAAACACTGTAATCTGAACACTGCACTTTTATATATATTGAACAATATATTGATGTGGATTTCCTTGTTGTTGATATGTTTGATGATGAAGAAATTCGCCGTTGAGACTGACTTGCTTTCAAAGAGAATAATTTTATTTAAGCAAGAAACAGAATCACTGGTCACGTCTGACCAGGAGGATCAAGAAGCCAATAATGATCTCTGTCGAACACACAGAGACAATTGCTTATATGCATCCAAACATCCGCTTTCCCGTCATGGGTCATAAAACATCACGTTACACAACCACATGTGGCAATACTCCTATACAATACCTCAATTTAAACATTCCACCTGAGGGGACTCCTAAATCTCCTTCAGATACTATCACAAGACGCACCCGTTGTAAACTTATATTATCTCTGTCCTAGTTACATCAGACACTTCATAGTCCCCCCTAGCGAGACTATAGTCTCGCAAACGAGATAAATTATACAATTATGATGTTAATTAGCCTCATACGAATCACTTCTGTCCATGCTTAACCTTAGTAATATAGTAAAATTTTATTTGTGGAGTGTGAGAGCGAAAAACCCATCAAGCAGCTATCTTTCTTTATTATCCATCAAACAATCTAGACAGGAAAACTCTCTCACGGTCCCTTTGCCCCAGGCAACCACCTATAGTACTCCAAACCAATT